CATGGCCTCGGACTTATGGAGCGCCACCTCGAGCCCAGAAAGCAGAAATACGGTAGGCCCCTTGAATAAAGAATCAAAACAAGAGATAAAAGAGAGCGCCCCTACACTGTTCTCACATATTTTACAGGATTAAAAGTCAACGATCAAACGGCACCAGGTGATCAGCAAGTTTCTATTTTCCAATAGTTATTAGAAAAATATAAACAAATCCAATTTATATAGTTTTTAAATTACAATCACTTATGTGTTGTGTTGAAATATGTATCAGAGACATTGTAGAACATACTTTTTTTAAAAAAGAGTAACGTATGGAGTTTCTTGCTCGCTCTTCTCCATTCGAATCTACATTTTGGAATGAGCACCTAGCTTCACCTAGCTTCTCTGACAGACTGACTGACAGACTATTATTTATTTTGTATTTGTTGACGTTTCAAAAGTACCAAATTATGGTTTAATTGAAATAAATGCTTTGACTTTGACTTTGACTTTGTTATCCACAAAAAATATCCTTGTGCCACTCTTTTGACTTTTGCTAATACAATTCTTTATTTTTTCGTTTGTATTTTTGCTAACGTTATCTTGAATAGTACTCCAGTATTGTGGAATCAGAAATTCTGAGCCAACTGCTTTAAGTTGGAAAAGAATGTTATTTTCTGATGAACCAAGTACAAAAATTTTCACCGTAGCTTGAGTGACTGTCCTGAAAAAAATCTATATTCTACTGGGTAGCTACTAAAATAAGTAAAATTACATTGGAGTACAATAGCTAGCATAAAAACAGCATAAATATTAAAACCTAGTGTCATGTAGCTAACAAACACTAACGATAAAGTAGTGACAGGGACAAACCGGGTAGAATGAACGATAGTCGTGTAACCGGATACAGCCGGTTATAACTAGCTGTGAAACCGGTTCTGAGCGGTTATTGCGTTGTTGTGACGTCATTGTACTGCGGCGAGAGTGTAGGGTTATGTTATTGCGTGTACGTGGTGTGGGTTTGAATTTCGGTTTGGGTATTATGTTGGGCTGGTGTTTGCAAAATGGACATTCTTAATACATACATAGAAATAATAAATGGCTTCTACTATTAAAACCAACCTTCGAAAAGCCACATTTTCATTGAAAAAACCTTCAACAAATAATTAAAATCGCAGAAATTAATTAGTACAAATACAAGCGAAACATATTTTACGGCTACTCATCAAGCTATGAAAAACCAATATAAAGTGGCTGTTTAAGGGGCAGAAAGAGCATAGAAAGCGAGACCAGGTTATATTGGTTAACTATAGCTCGGTGTATAGTCGTATGTGACGCGAAACTATCCAGTATAATTTGACCTTCGAAGGTGCAGAAAGAGCATAGAAAGCCATACCAGGATATAATGGTTGTATAACTCGGTGTAGCCATGTGTTGGCCGCATTTAATCACGTAATGACACTTTGAACACGCCCTGACTGCTGACGGATCGCGTGAAGTATTGCAAGTATGTTACTGGCTTTCTTACAAAAAAAAATAATCTATTTATATCGGGACAAGCCCGCCACAACCTCCCAAAATCGCTGCAACTCCTGTAAGCCAGGATCTACAGTAGATACAATCATGAAACCACCGGAACACTGAAGTCCGGCGCGTCTCAGGGACATGAGTAACTGTTTTGGTTCCCGCAACGAAGTGAATCAGAAGATATTATAAGAGGAGAAGAAGAAAAAACTATAGTTTCCACCACACTCATGCATGAGAAGCGGGCGTCTTAAACCTCGGGGCCAGCATGACTTTCTTCATAGTAATATTTAATCAGATTCAAAATCATGTCACCATACATTTAGTAGTACTACTAGCAACCACTCGTCCTCTTTAGTAATAAATTCTATGATATAATCGATTCATAGATCACATAAAAAGGCGCGTGACAAGGGTCGCGGGAGATATAGACGGGTAGAAAGGGGTCAAGTTCAGGGTTGACACTGTTCGAATTTAAATATTACATACCATATTTTTTATATATATTTGATGGGCTTGTACACTATCTCGCCTGGTGGTAAGCGATGATGCGGTCTACGATGGAGCACGTCGTCCCATAAGCAACCTATTCATATTTCACTGGCGTGGCCAAAGTAAATAATCCTACTTATAACTACATACGAGTACTATTGGCTATGTGCGCGACGGTGGCGACGCGTAGCGTTTACAACATTTGCGGAAGCTGTCAAATAATAACAATGTAAACATCATAATTTTCTTTGCAATTATAAATTAAAACCAAAAATTCAAATTCAAAGTATTGTTGACATTATTTAAGTGCAATTTATTCAATAGTTTTACTGTCAAATGAATATAATAATAAAAAGCAAACAAACAAAAAAACAAACTCTTCCGCTATAGGTAACAGTATCAAAAAAATAACATAGGTATATTATTAAAAATACTGAATTCTACGAAGCACACACCCCTGAAAACGTCTCACACCTTTTTCTGTCCCCTAGTGGCCATCTGTTTACAAGATTACGTAAAAATATTTACCAATTCAACAGTAAACAGGACCCAAAGGACTAAGGACTAAGATTCGATACAATTTCATTTGTTAACGTATTGATAGATTTAGTTTTTTTTACTAGCCGTTTGTTGCCTACTTTTTTACAAGTTCACATATACACGACACCCAGACCCGGAACAACAATCTGTGGATCGCACAATATACCCGAGCGTACTGCGCGTCGCGTTCCGCGCGCGCCTCAAAGAGCCATCAGACCACCACGGATGGGGCCCAATAGGGCCGATGCCGATTAGAAGTCGCGGAGAACCTAACGGGTAACCGGGGCTCCGGCTCGAAGTGCAGGAGAAGGAACGGGGTGGTTTTTTGTCAATAAGTTTCTGACACTCCCTCCCGCCTCACCCAGGCGGGAGAAGGAATTCGATTATTTTCGCCCCTAAAAAAAATGTATTTTAAGTTTCCTATTATTTTCTGTTTACCCTCGCTTTCTATTATATTTAATTTTTTGTAGTTGTTAAGTTTATGTATGTTCTGAGCAAAAATAAATGGTTATTCTATCTTCTTTCTTTATTCTAATTATAGTGATACTTTCTTTAACAGATTGCATAAAGGAATTTCTCAACTTGACATGTGTGTATGTATGTAAGTTTGTCCGTGATTTTCTCACGATTGGCTGAACCTATTTTGACTCGGTTTTCAGAAAAGTGTTTATTACAATCAGGAAGTATTGATAAACCGACCTTAAAAATTGAGAAAGTTACAGTCGGTTTTTTAACAGACTTCAAAAGCAGTCGGGTAAAAAGGAGGAGGTTCTCAATTCGACCGTATATATGCTTTTTTATGTTTGTTCGCCGATATCTCCGTTATTTATGAACCTCAATCCACAACAATAAAATAAAATCCAAACCCACAACAAAATATAAAGTAGTTAATGGTCACAGCTGGTATCCATAATAAATCCATAATAAATTCAATCCATAATAAAATTGTAAACAGCTTAATAATGTTACGTTAGATATCTATTAAGGTTTTAATGAATAATTTTGTTTAATATGTGTGGCACCGACTTCTATCCTATATCCTATCAGTAGGTTTGTAAGCTATAAGTACGTATGACTAATAATAGTTACTTTTTTCCTTTTCGTTTGTTATTCGCTTTATACAGTCTTTTTTAAACCTTTTTTAAATGTAGTTTTGAAATATGTTTTCACAATTTATGACAGTTTCAATTTTATTTCAGTTGATTCCGAGTTCAAGTTAAATTAACGAACTTATAAAGTCAAATTCAAAGCATTTATTTCAACTAAACCATAATTTGGTACTTTTGAAATGTCAACAAATATAAAATAAATTGTTAATAGTCTGTCAGTCCCTTTGTCAGTGAAGCTATCTAAAGCTAGGTGCTCGTTCCAAAATGTAGATTCTAATGGAGAAGAACGAGCAAGAAAATCCATTCGTTTATCATTACTATACATTTTGTAGATAAGTAGGTAGGGAGTGTGTAAATAACTGTGAATACGATGCAATTGTTGTAAATAAGATTATTAACTTTAACGGTAGGCGGTAGTTGACTTGGCTACTCGCGGGCGGCGCGTGCGACGAGTTCTGTTCAGGGGTGTGCGCGGGAGTGTGCATGCATTGGCGTGCTCCTCGCCGCCTGTGTCGGCGCCGAGCTGTCTCGTTCTCGAACGCCCCGTCATACACTGTTGCCATTCTTCTTTCTCTTCTTCTTTCAATCTGCCATTATCTCGATAAGAATGGCAACAGTGTATGACGGGGCGGTGACCGCGTTTTGCGAATTGAATGAATTCGGTGCATTGCGGCATCACGGGATGGTTTTATGCCAATAAATCAATACAACTTAATACGTAGATTTTTTTTGTATGAAAAAAATGACTCATAATCAATAATTTATACCTACTATTATAATCTTCAAATACAACACTACCTCCCATTAAAGCTGTGGCTGTGGCTGATATATATATATCAATAAATTCTTGTATAATATTAAGATATGATTTAAACTGTCAAACACCAAGCGGTCACCGGTGACCGCAACCTATTGTTCTATAATTGTGTCTACAAAACCGGTACTCGACGAGTTAAATTAGACTATTACACTATTAATTGGTTTCTTGTGAGTGTATATAAAACTTTTTTTTTATGGTATAAGCCGGTAAACGAGCAGACGGATCACCTGATGGTAAGCAATCGACGTCGCCCATGGACACCTGGAACACCAGAGGCGTTACAAGTGCGTTACCGGCCTTTTGGGGATTAGGAATTTGAGGATCGTTGTGGATTCAGGAATTGGGGAGATTGGGGAAGGGGAGGGTAATTGGGCCTCCGGTAACCTCACTCACACGAGGAAATACAACGCAAGCGTTGCTTCACGTCGGTTTTCTGCTCGGCCGTGGTATCACTCCGGTCGAGCCGGCCCATTCGTACCGAATCATGGTTCTCCCACATTTTAAATGTGTATCTAATAGAATTATTTTTTTCTTTTCAGATAATGACGAGTTAAATGACAACATGAGTCTCTGATGCCGTTAAAATGACTGCAACTAAAGTAAGTACAATATAATATGACATGACATGACGTAACACCTTTGTACCCTCAAAAGGGAAGGCAGAGATTTACATAAATATTACAAATGCAATAATATACTTACTATAATGTTTTGGTCACAAGATGGCGCTTATCTTAAAATAAGTCTTTTAGTAGATACAATTTTGAATTTAACGTCCAGTAGTGTGAGACTAGCCAATAGGGTACTAGACAGTGTATGACAATTAAAAATGTAATTAGTCCGTCAGTAAGATAATGAAAAAATATTAGACACGTATTTTTTTTATTTTGTCGCATAAGAAAACAATACTTAGATAAAACGGAGTTAAGTTTTGGAGTGGGAGGTCGTCACGCTACCCTATAAGTCCTATAACATACATAACACCACGCCTTTTATCCCCAAAAGGGTAGTCAGAGGTGCACATTATACCACTGTGCAATGTAACACCCACTTTTCACTATTTATGTCATGAGTCCCATGTAATAGGTGGTGAGCCTATTGCCATATACCGGGCACAATTCCAGACTCCGTGCTACTACTGAGATATTTAAAAACGCAGTAATACTTTGCCCGACCCGGGAATCGAACCCGAGACCCCTTGCCAGGCAGTCGCACTTACGACCACTCGGCAAGAGGCAGTCGCTACCCTATAAAATGTAGTAAATCGTGTCGTCACACGATATTTCAAATCAATATATCGTCGAAAGTGTTCAATTTTATAAGAAAAGAAAAAATACGTGTCTAATGTTTTAAAATAATATACCAGACGGACATTAAAATAAAATATAGGATACTACCCTATTCCCTATAGTCTAAGAACACCCTAAGTGTCATCTGATGTCGCGGAGAACCTAACGGGTAACCGGGGCTCCGGCTCGACGTGCAGGAGAAGGAACGGGGTGGTTTTTAGTCAGTAAGAGTCTGACACTCCCTCCCGCCTCACCCAGGCGGGAGCAGTCATTCGATGATTTTCCCCCCTTAAAAAAAAAGTGTCATCTGGTGAGAGAAAGTGTAGTAAAGTAGCCCCCATTCCAAGATCCGAGCTAAAGTTGAAAAGTTTTTGGATAACTGACTGCACGGTTGGTGCGGTGGCTGGGCAACCGGCTGCCGTGCAACGTGTCGCGGGTTCGATTCCCGCACGGAACAACACTTTGTGTGATTCACAAATTCTTGTTTCGGGTCTGGGTGTCATTGTGTATGTGAACTTGTATGTTTGTAAACGCACGACACAGGAGAAAATCCTAGTGTGGGGCAAATTTTTTTTTTAAACTAAAGAAGCTCCAATAGAACTTTGCCTGGAGTACTGACTCCAGGCGACCCGAGTGTCAAACTCGAGTCTTATTATTGGCCTGCAATATTATGATACTAAACGTTAATCCAAAGACTTAAAGAGGACACCAAATTAATTTTTTGTCCTTCATTCTCGACCATAACTACTTGCCGTATAGCGAAACGGCCACTGCAACAATCGTCCTAAGTCTCTGCCTACCCCAATAAGGAAAAACCGTGATGGTAAGCAATAAAAATATACGACGGGATGTCTATAAGACATTTTACGATATTGTCACCAACAGCACATAAAACTACACTACTAACGTCAATGAATTTTGCGACTTGACGATAAAGAAATAAGGTTAAAAATCCATTGACGAAATTTTGCCTTTGAATGTAGCTTGATGTGTTTTGTATTTCTTCAACGATTTTCCTTGTTGAGGGAAATTGGAAGAAATTGTTTTGGACAACGAACTTTTGTGTTATAGAGTTATTTGATCATCTTGGTTGGTTGGTATTGTTGCGCTTTTCAATTTTGAAAATACTTTATAGAGTACCTATAGCTGTCTTATCAACAATCCACTTGCGAGACCCAAGAAGTTATTCATGTCCCTGTGACGCGCTGGACTTCAGTGTTCCGGTGTTTTCATGGTTGTATCTACTGTAGATCCTGGCTTACAGGAGTTGCAGCGGTTTGGGAGGTTGTGGCGGGCTTGTCCCATAAGAAAAAGTCCAATGCTAGTTTATGCGTCTTCTACATAAAAGGGGTTGCCATAATCCTAATTTTATGGAGGCGAGTTTTTTGTATAATCTATTTTATTTTAATCTATTAACCAATTGTAAACAAAAAATGTTAAAAAATTGTTCACAACATAATTTAAAACCAACAAATTATGTTCCTTCGTAAAAACCATTTGTTATCATATTTCATTAGCCTATAAATAAACATGTCGTCCCGAACGACCCCGAAGTCTCCCGAAGTTTCCCGAAGGCCTCCGAAGTATTTGCAAAAACTTCTATCAAGCAATACAAATAGTCCATTAGTAACATCCCACACAAAAAGGGGGTGGGATTGGGTGGGAGTGGGAGTAGGATTGGAATTCTCTGGAATCCTGTATCCTTGCGTAGGTGTCACTGGCAACACCGATACAAGTTCTATTTTTAAATATAAAACGTTTCGATTCGAAAATAAAACGGGGTTGGATTTGAATTTGGAATTTGATTTCGTTTCGGTTACAGATTACCGGTTGCTTTTGGTTTATTAATCTGTGATGTCCCTGAGGCTAGGCTCGTCAAACTTGAGGATGCGCGTTCGAGACCCAGCTAATACCAATGTGATTATTTCCAAGTATGTGTACCTACTTTCTAAGATTGTTGATATACAGTAAGGCAACATTCGTGAGGAAAAATTACAGACTTAAAATTTTAACATAACATAACATCACGCCTTTTATCCCCGAAAGGGTAGGCAGAAGTGCACATTATGCCACTGTACAATGTAACATCCACTTTTCACTATTTATGTTATGAGTCCCATGTAATAGGGACTCCATGTTTCTACTGAGAGTTAAAAACCCAGTAATACTTTGCCCGATCCGGGAATCGAACCCGAGACCCCTTGCTCGACAGTCGCACTTGCAACCAATCGGCCAACGAGGCAGTCTTATAATTATAATATTTTTTTATGGCATAAGCCGATAATCGAGCACACGGAGCACCTGATGATAAGCAATCGGCATCGCCCATGGACATGCAGGACACCAGAGGCGTTATACGGGTGTTACTGGCATTTTGGGATTAGGAATTTGAATATTATTGGGGATTGAGAGATTGTGGAATTAATTAAAATTAAAGAAATAAAAATCAATACCAATCTGTTATTCTGAGATAACTACCATAGATTCTTAGAAAAATAATTCCAACAGGAAAATGTGGGAAAAGACTGAACAAAAAATGAAGCGCTTTTTTCCTCGACGCGAGCGGTGGAAAATTCCATAAGAATTTAGTAATGATAGCGAATATTGATCAGAATCTATTATCTAATCAAGCCACCCTAAAAGCAATCTTGAATACCTTATACGTGGGATAAAAATGCTTTGGCACGAATGGCTCGGATCCACCGGACTGATACCACGGCTTTTTATATTTGATGGGCCGACCTTTGACCACTACCTCGCCTAGTGGTAAGCGATGAAGCGGTCTTTGACGGAGCATGGCCTACGGCCTTACGCAAAACCAGCGAGATATAACCACAGCATTGTGTATCGCCGTGTGAGTGAGATTATCGGAGGTCTAATCCCCAAATATACCAATCTTCGCCACAAACTCTGGCAACGCATTTATAACTGCTCTGCTGTTACGGGTATTTATGAGTAAAGCTGATTGCTTACCATCAGGTGATCCATCTGTACATCTGCCCTATGCTGTAAAAACTCATGAAAAGTGGGTGTCACATAATTACCTTTGACTTCTCTTTCGAATCATCATCAACAACTTTTAAGTGCCTACGGCTGAGGAAATGCATCTTCTCAGGCTGTTTTCTGTCAGGGATTTTTGTACACTTTTTGTGACGATGTCAATCCCATCGTGCTTCTACATAACGAATGTATTTACAACTTAAACAAAATAACTTAGTCTACTTATCTATATAATATAAAGGAATATATAATTTTCGCAGCTTCAGATGTAGGCTTACCTAAAATACCATTAAACATTCCCACATCCATTGCTGACAGTTTCATGGAGTTGAGAAGTGTATTTCTCTTATTTGTATGTCGGACACATTCCACCAACACATGCTGCACGTCTTCTATTCTGCCACATATCTCACAATTAGGGGAGTCTGATTTTCGCATGAGGTGAGCAAGTGGTTTAGTGGAATGTGTCCTGACCGTAATCGAAGCGCAGCAACAATTTGTCTTCTATTCAATTTTGAGGCTGAGAAGGTTGGAGTATGAACTGTTCACCAATCCACCTACATCCATCCACCATCCACATACGTAGTAAACGCTTGCTCAAGGCGGATTGGATTGGCGGTATCAAACTTATGATTAGAGATTATAAGACCAAGTGTCCTCACCATGTTTTCCTTCACCATTTGCCGGTGGTGGCTAAATAATCTTAGAAATCATATAACGCGGAAAAAGTTACATTTTTACTTGTCGTTTCAAATGAGAAATGGGCGTCGAAAACCTCCAACCAACCACGACAAGCCTTCGGTTAAAAAGCCGTAAAAGGCGACCTAATAGTTCGACGTCAACATATATGAACATCCACTATGACAAGGGATGTTAACCTTATATAACACGGTAGAAGCTTGTCATCCATCATCCACGCTGACCGGTCGATTGTACCACTTATATGCTATTAAAGATAATGCTTGCTTTCGTGCAAACTGTCTTTATTCTACTATTTATTAGAAAAACTAGCTTCCGCTAGCGGCTTCGCCCGTGTTCCCGTTACATAAAAATTAGCCATCGTGGTGACCCAGATGTGAAGGTAAGAGGTCCGGTTCGAAACCTACCAACGACAAGTACCTATGTGACCTATTCCGAGTTATTTATACTTTCTAAGACTATTTAAACACCACCGACAAACGGTGAATGAAAAACATCGTGAGGAAACCTGGGCTTATGATTTCTAATTATAAGTTTGAAATCTACAACCCGCATTGAGCAAGCGTGGTGATTAATGCTCTAACCTTTTCCGGGTGAGAAGAGGCTTTGCTCAGCAGTGGGCATTTATAGGCTGTTGATGATGTTGATTATGAAACCTTAGCCTATGTTTTTTCAGACCATAATAAGTCCTTGTGCCCCTTTAACGTAAATGAGAGTCGTTATCCAATAGTGGACGGTCGCATGCTATTGTTGGTTACAATAATTTTATAATTATGCATTTTACTATAACTTTAGTGAAACATATTTAATTAATAGGTAATAGATTATAACCCAATAGGGTAGATGCCTAATTTTATATTTTAATGTCCGTCCGGTAGATTACTTTAAAACATTAGACACGTATTTTTATTTTCTTACAGAAACGAATACTTTCGACGATATATTGATTTGAAATGTCGCGTGACGTCACTTCTATGTACATTCTATACGTAGAAATGACGTTTTATCCCCTACTCCTAAACTTTGATTCGTTACATCTAAGTATCATTTTATTATTCAAAAAAATAAAAAAATACGTGTCCATTAATTGTTCATTACGTAACTGGCGGACTAATTGGATTTTTAATTTTCATACTCTGTTATCATCCCTATTGTGGCTTGAAATTACTCGAGTTCTCTTGTAGAACAGTTACCTGCTTAAGCCATACAATTTAGTAAACATTTTATTCATTGTTGCAGACGGAGATGGCACATGCGGGCAGCAGCTTCCAGTGGGACAAACTGTCACCAGCAGAGTTCCAGCAACTGCAGGAGTTGACATCATGTGAGTCAAAATTATACCTTTTTTGAAGTTTTTGTGGGGGCAAAATCATCAAGTCGTGTTGGGTGCATCTCCTTGAGTATCCACCACGTTAGATTATAAGTTGTTTATTTTAGTACCTAAGTTTTGTAATTAGTATAATGCGTCAAGCGTTCTCTTGCCTTGGATGAGACGAAAGGGAGGTGTCAGACGGCGCTCTGATTGGCCGGCTCCAGTGGAGCAACCAATCAGAGCGTCGAACGCGCTCGATTCTTTTACGTTACGAATGTTATATAGATAGGCCTCTTTGGTCGAATGATCACAAGTGTGACTGCCGGGCGAGGGATCTTGGGTTTGATTCTCGGGTCGGGCAAAGTATTACTGGGTTTAAAAAAATTCTCAGTAGTAGTACGGAGTCTGGAATTATGCCCGGTATATGGCAATAAGCTCACAACTTATTACATGGGACTCATGACATAAATAGTGAAAAGTGGGTGTTACATAGTACAGTGGCATTAAGTGCCGTAATGTGCACCTCAGCCTATCCCTTCGGGGATAAAGGGCGTGATGTTATGTATGTATATAAAATTAATCATATTGAAAGCACCGAAAAATGCAAAAAGATAATAATAATAATTCCCTAAGGTAAATGTTACTAAATGAATATACTTCATACGAGCCACTAATGTAATAGCGTGGTTCAACTTGTAGTAATTTCGCCAAATTATTTTATAGTTCAGCGGTAGATGTTTTAGTGAATTAAAGTTTTGCACTTAGCCGTTGATGCCTTGATGGTATAACCTAATAGGTTTGGTTATGTAGGTAACTGTACGAATTATATAATTTATTTACATCTTAAAATAAACCTAAAAACTGACACAATTACATTAACAAATCTATACAAACACACCTACATACATTTATATACATATTTACATTTTGTACGGGATACATAATACTCCCTTATCAGTTGGTCGATAAAAATTCCATCGATAGTCGATAATTGTAAAACTATCGACCAAACCCTCATCACTAATTACTTAATTACCAATATAGTTATAACTATCGATATCTACCGATGATCGCCTACCGATGCGTGTGCGCATATCTGTCAAACCAGTCTTGCCGAGATTTTGCTACGACGCGCATAGATTTATTTATTTATTTATTTATTATTGTGATGTTAACACGGCTTTACACCAATTACATTAACACACATAACAAAGAGAAATCAAAGAGAATCAAACAGTTACAATAACAGAAAAGAAGAGAAAAAAAAAGAAAATTAAACACATAAATAAACATCACAGTAAAAAAAAATACAATTAAAATTCAATTAAAAAACATAAAGAAAAATCAGATAATTCTTTCACTTGCTTAACGCTGTAAAAACAACACTAATTCTATCGCAAATATCTTCTATCTATTCCTTATTACTTCTAATACTGACTGTCTTCTCGCTATCTCTGTGCTGTGCTTATAAGTGCTTGTGACTTTCCTACTGTGCCTTCTGTACTACACGTGTGTCGGATCCATCGAATAAACTTGGTGATACGTGAGTCGCACTTTTATAACATAACATAACATCACGCCTTTTTATCCCCGAAGGGGTAGGCAGAGGTGCACATTTCGACACTTAATGCCACTGTACAATG